CTCACGACCGATTAAACAATTCCCGATTGGCACGCCGAATAACGATTGAAAATGGAAACTGTTAATTTGAAAAGGTACAAACATTTTATTTATCTGCGCATGAATCCGCAAGTATGAAATTACCGTAAAACACGAATATACCTAAAATTAATGTGGAACGCGATATTCAAAGTTGGAACAAACTAAAAATATCTCGACCTCGTCCTTATTTCTTATTATACACAATTCGAAGCCAACTCTCGATTGAAATACTCTTTCGTGGCATAAACGGAAATATATCCGCTGGAAATAATTTAGCAAATCTGGTTAAAAAAAGATTGCAAAAAAATCTTTTGCATCGCTTTTGTAGTCGAATCATTTTAATGAAATGAGATATTAGAGAAAATTACACGTCTCTCTTTCCGTCAGACGCGACAATGCGATCGAAGATTTCAATACACGACGGCGCGCGCTTTTCAAATTGAATCACGGTATTTTTTTGACACGACTGGTACGAGCTAACGAGGGATCGGCCGGCGCTCTCGCGGTTCCACGGCCGACGTCGCACGGTCGGAAAAATTGCAATTTATTCTCCTATGGAATTAAAGCGTCCATTACAGAGGAGCAGGCAACGCTCAGGGGAGTCCGGTGTTACTCTCTCCTATATCCATCGCCGAGCGTCGCCGCGCCGGCACTCTAAAACCCCTTTCCGCCCGACACTTCCGTTCGTTCTTTCCGCCAGCGATAAAGTTACGTTCCTGAAAGAAGCGAAGAACGTAGAGAGAACCGACTCCGTCGACGCCAGGCGCGATTTGTCAACCGGGGATTATCCGTTTTCCGCGTTCCTTTAATGAGATAAACAACGATGGCGGAAAGGCGCGCCAAGCAAGCAGAGAGAGAGAGGGAAGGGAAGAATAATTTCCACGGCGACACGAGAAGACACGACGGAAGATTCGTTACTCTTCCTTGCGCGCGCCAGGCGCCTTCTTAATTTATTCACTCGCTCCTTTCGCCGGGAAGAAATGAATACGCGAGTCTTGACACGTGCGAAACGTTCTTTCTTACACACAGCGATGTTATCGCCGACGACACGAATCATCGTATTTATTATCGCGTTTCGCATTCTTGTTTGCTTTATCGAATGGAGATTCAAATTCAAAAGGTTTCGAGCCCTATATTCGGATATCGTATAATTACATTTCGTCATCGCTGACCGAACGAAAATCCGACGAATCGCACCGAACGCACATTGAAATCGTGACTTTCAAATTTGAATGTTGGGCAAAAAACGATGTTTGCATCGGAAGTATCGCTTTCGCAAGTTGTCACGAGATGATACGGCAATAGGCGCCCTCGATATACGTATGCAAAGCGAATGCGTTTAACCAACTTCTCGCCGAGAATTTCCATTAGTCAGGGTGGGAGCGCCCTGTAGAGTAGAAACTCACACGGGGGATGATGACGGGCGGCTGACGGAGCGGGTGCGCGAAGGGAGGAGGCGCGATACTAGCTTGTTTTGGAGATGCCAAGCCGTCGAATGATTTCGAATCAACGCGTCTGGTAGCGCGTATAATTCAATTTGAATATGTATACGGGGCCTGCGGCGCGAACGGGCCGCGCGCGTACGTCCGCGTTCCCATCGGCGCTCGCGTAATTCCCGCGTACATATATAACGGGGATATATATATATGTATATATGTATATGTATATACACTCTCTCGCGCTCTGCTCTCGCTCGCGTAATATAGATATTACCGTCGAGTTTCACCCGCCGCGTCGCTTCTCTCGCGCGCTCTACGTCTCGCGTCGTTTCTTTTTCATTTATACACCGTCTCTCTCTCTCTCTCTCTCTCTTTCGTCGCGCATCTGATGTGTCGGGGGATGGCAAGAGATGCGCGCGTTCGCATCCATCGAGGATGGATCATCGGTTACCGAGCACGTTCGTCGGGATACTTTAATCTTTCTCTCTAGCGCGCGCGATAATACACGCCCGCGCGTCGAAGATACGTCTATAACGCGCCTGGAATTTTTATTTTTTACCCTCTCGCGTCGGGAAGAAGGCTTTCAGGCAACATCGCAAGGGATTTCTTTACGAGCGGAGAAAGAGAGAGAGAGAGAGAAAGCGTGTATTTATCGAAGCACTCTGGGACAAGTCCCCTCAAGCGCACGAATTTTAAGAGATACAAATAATCATAATTCGACGAATAATTTAGTATATCGTGTGTGTAGATAGAAATTGTTACTTATGAAAATGTATTTGTGCGAGTGTGTATTGACATGTCATAACAGATAATTAGTGTATCATATGTGTTGTGTGAGTATTATAACAAAAAGTTGAAACTGTTTAAATTGAATATAAAATTTCAGTGATTATATTGAATTTATGATTTTGGATTGAATAAATAATTTTTGCGGGAGAGAGGGAGCGCAATCCCCATGTGTCGACCGACTATTCACCCTCGTCGTAAGAGCGTCTCCGCGAGATATGTAAGTCTTGGCGGGGTTGGGCGCGAATGTCGACGAACCTGCGCTGAATTTATGCAGATGTATGCCGGCAATATTCTAAATAAGTAGGTAGGTACACTCCCCCTCGTCCTCAACCGCGCCGGATCCGACGTCAGCGAATCCGACCAACCAAACGCCACCTTCGGTCCATTGTAAAATCGCGCTGCTGGCGGTTCTCGTGATAGCGTCTCGCCGTCTTCGGCGCAATTAACGTTTCTTAGCCGCCCTCGCGTTTCTCCGAGTGTCCCGACGACGACGACGACGACGACGACGACGACGACGACGATGCTTCTTGCGGTATCCGGGGAGAACAATCCAAGTTCCAGCGGGAGAAGCCCCCTCTCGATTCGGCGGACTTGTGAATATTCACGAAATCCCGTCGCGAGCATTCGAGATCGTTCTTGAATTATCCAATCTCGAAATAATACTTTTTTACCACGAATGGAATTGTTTTTCTCTGTTACTTGTATTTGATCGAAACGCGAAACTTGGATTTTGGCATTAAAAATTATTTTATGAGTGACCTGATCTAAGAATAAGAATTTATCGTTATATCATACCGTGTTATAGAACCGTCCGTTTTATAACCAAATTGAAAATAGCTGCGAGTTTTAACATCAATAACGTCAGCACGTAGCTTCTGTACTAGCTTCCGCTCCATATATATACTCGATATAAAATAGCTATTCAATGAATAAATCAATATAGTAAAACAATTCAATTAAAGCTAAAAAAATATATGACGCATTTCTAAATCTTTCCTGTATTAATCCTATATCTCACATTCTTTCGCATGTTACCTTTCAATCATTTTACTATATATATATGTTTATTCGATATGTCATGACCCCATTCGAAAATAAAATGAAATGTTCATCGACTCTTAAAATCTCAATACTCATCTCACTGTGCTATTTACCGAGATAAATTTCTGCATGAAATATAAAATCAATTTTCGTCGCTCTGAAATTTCTCCCATTTCTTTAATCCGCTCTCTCGCTTAGAAACTCATAAACGGTGCACTTAACGGCGTCGAGGGTCGAATAAGACGAAGGGTAATGCTTCGATGAATTTCGGCGGTCGAGTGCTCATCGCTTATCCCGAGTCGAGCGATGAGAGGGCGCAAGGACGACTTTCAATTTACGCAAGAACCACCGGCGTCACGTATGCGCATAGATTAGTAGGTCGCTCTGCGACGTAGATGGTAGACGAAGCGCCCTAATCAGCACTTGGCGTTTTAACGCGGTTAATTGCGCTTCAATTAGCCCGGATGGGGAGAAGGAGGAAGTCGTGCCCTCTCCCTCGTCCCTTGCCGAGAGGACTTTCTTGTGCTCCTGTCGTTGCTCGCGCGAGCGAAGGAACTTTCGCGATCGTAGCGTGCAATTAGGTGCAAAGTCTCGTGCATTAAGAAGACCGGCAAGAACCGTTAAAAGACATTGCCTGGCAGAAGATTAGTCGACGATAACGTCGGAGTTACATTGCCGTTAAAGCGGCACATTAGCGTGATGCTCGAGTGTGTTATATTTTTCTCCGGAAAGGAGACGGCTATCTCGCTCTCGCTTTTCGTTATGCGTGCGCGTTATTTCACCCGGCGACTATTACGCGAAAAGCAGGAGGTGCGAACGAGTAGACTCGCTCCGTAAAGTAGACGCGAGAAATTGTAACGCGTAATCGTTTCGTCGCACGCAACGTCGTCGTCGTCGTCGTTCATCGTAGCGAGACCAGAGAGAGAGAGAGATGATGATGATGATCGAAAATCGCCTTCCCCTTCGTATCGTGTGTATATATATATATAGCGGGCGCCATCAAATGCGTAATAAATCACAGAATCAATTCTGATACATACCGAGTGGCGCCATAAATAAAAGTGCAGGGATACGCGAGAGATACCGCGCCGTAGATCGCGGGATGTCCGTATATACCTGGGTCGACGGAAACAAATGACAGCGCATAAGCGGGTGGAAACACTCGAAAGTCGGTTGTTGTTGCCGGCGCGGCGCGGCCGACACACAGCGGTCGTACGGAATTTGAAATTCAAAGCGTCCGGGAGAAAGCCGGCCGATAACACGGCGAAAGAGATAGATAGAAAGGTAGAGAAAAAGATAAGGTAGGAGAAAGAGAAATAGCGCGAGAGACCGGGGCAAAAATACACATTAGCGGATTTGAAATTTAGATACCACGCGGCTCTCACCAAAATTGAGTAGTTCGTGTGCTCGAAAAACAGGCCGATTTACGTATACGCGAGAGCCGCGTGTCTCGAAACGCGATTCTGAGCCTGATCGATGTTACGTGCGCGCGCGAGGTCCACTTCTTCTGACCTCGTTCCCCTCCACATCGTGTGCACACGGGGGTAGTGTGTATTTTTGCCAACGAGCCCGCGTAACGGGTCCACCGTTCGTTGCCTCTGTTATACGTTGCTTTACGTGTGCGCGAGCGCGAGCGGCGCCCTAGATGTTGACCACGCGGATAACATCTAGGGCTCGCTCTACCCCATGCTAGGCATTGTTTGTACTTACTTGTCATGTACGTGATGTATTGCGAGTCGCTGATGTTTCCTGAAAGAAGCTCGTTGAGTCAAGTCGTACGTAAACGGCGATGTCTCGCGAGTCCAGACGCGGATACACATGTCTTACAATTAATTTCGGGAATACGCAAACATCATGGCATTATTTCTCGTCTTTCGATCTTACTCGTCTAATTATATTCTAGGTCGTCTCGATTTTTTAGTCGACGACGAAACACGCAAACGCAATTCTATCGTTCACAATTTTTCGCGCGGAATCCTAAAATTGTTCTATAAATAAGGTAAGTGACTTATGAAAGTAGGGTGCGCCACACGCTACATATTTTTCTCACATTCAACGTCGCAAGTATCTATATCCGACCAAGTTCACAATAGAGTGGGAGTATATACGCCAAGCTTCCGATATCGCTCTCGAATTTCATCGCCATACTACGTCCTCTTCGGAGCCACGAAGGCATGCCATCGACACGCGACTCGCATCCCTCGATAATACAGTCGCACTCTCGAGAGTGCCGTGTCGATCTTCACCGACTGGAATATTCGCGTGTGCAAAAGCATCGGGGCACGAACCCTCGGGAGCACGAAAGGGAGAGAAAGGGGGGCATTTGGTGGTTTGTGTGCGACTTGGTTGCGAAAGCTCCCTCCCTCTGTCAGAAAAACGTGAATGCGAGAGATATGTTTCCCTATTCGTAGAATATAACAGTCGATGGCGATCGCGATATTTTTATACGCTCGATATTTAGTATTCATTCTTGTATGGTCTCGTTGAACGCCGCGTTCCCTTCTGTTCCCGCGAATAAATGAATCGTTAATGGCGCGTTTTAAAATTCAAAGTATCCGCACTGCGAGAAATTGCGGAAAATTATAACGTCTTGCCGAAATTATACCGAGAGAATCGCGCGAGATCCGCTTCTATTTTTCGGCTAATATTATTAGTGTTATCTTTATCATAGGATTTTCATCTCTCTCATTATCGTTTATTACTTTAAATATATGTTTGGAAAAACAACCGCTCTATTTCTCAAATAGACATCTCAAAGAGATTAATACTTATGTATTATTAAAATATTGTAGACTGTGTGTAACTATATTCTACAGATTTTATTATAAAATGTCAAAAATATCTAATATAATGTTAGATAGCCAAACATTTGCAAATTTCATTCATTTAGCAAATTATTGTAGAAATAATCTTATTCATTATTTTGTCCCAGACAGTCATCATTAATTGACAAATCTGTCGTGTTGTAAAATTGATTTGTTTCTCTTCGATTAAACCTGTCGCTGTTGTCGCGATATGTAATAATATTCAAAGACATATATAACTCACACAGCATCATTTTCGTGATAAAGTGAATAGGTTCCTTCATGCGTGAAGCTTCTCACAGCAAACAAGCGGATGCATTTGGAGATACGTCGCCATTTTGGAGCGCGTGTTAACCCAACCACTGTTATTCCGTCTTGTTTGCGGAGCTCGGCGACGATATGTCGCATCGTCTCATCGTCGAAGATTCCCCGAATAGAGCGGAATATTAATTTGGCGAGATTGTGCGCGCGCGTGCACGCGAAAGAGAGATAGATAGAGAGAGAGAGAGAGATTGAAGGAGGAAGAGGCATCGGCACGTTGCCTCTTCTCTTAAGCGGGCCCGGTGGATGTAAATTAACTTTGAGAAACAATCTTGTCGTTAACTCGGCGTATAATAACGCGGGCGTGGTATCGCTTTGCTTCTGCTATATCGCACCTTCATTGCCACCTTCTACCGTACCATACATACGCATATAGTCCCCCCTTCCTCCACCCCGATCACTCTTCCTACTGACACTTAAGTACTTAAGGCGACACGTTTTATCATGTTTTTCATTCGTTCGCGATACAACACCATCCTCGCGTAATAATCCTCGGCCATCCTTCTTCCGTTCCCTTCTGGCTTGACCCCGGAGTTTATATCTCGCGATTATTCATCTCCCCGATCACGCGTATTTTCCTCGATTTTACGTAGTCGCTCTTTAAATTTGCCGCTCTTAATAAAATCGAGGCGACACAACTTGTTTTCGATAAGAGATCATTCCGTTCCTCTTATATGTTCGCGATACGTTAATAAGTTTGAAGGATGGTGAGGAGTGTTATGCGGCTGAATAATATCAGGGTATCGGTCTCTCCCACAGTTGTATCGCGCGAGATTATTTCTCCGATCATAAAAAGTTACGTGTCACGGCCTTACACGTTCGTACGACAGACCCGGATGTGAGACGCGAAAATTACTGCCGCCGCCCCACGATGGTGCGGAGTTTTTTTTTTTTTTTTTTTTTACGATGGGTATCAAAAGCGCCGAAATTGAGCTGACACACAACTGAAAAGGTTTTACGCATTCTCTTTTCAGTTCTCGCACGAGTGGCTTGTTTTTAATATTATATAAGTAATATATAAACATGAGAGAAATTGTGTATTTTAATAATTATAATTGTTACATTATAATCCGGCGAAAATTAAATTCGAATCGGATAATTTCGAGGAGAAACTTTTTTATAATTTTGTGAAATTCAAATTTCTGTGCATTCCTTTGCAACATTGTAAAAGAGCAGTGAGTCGGTGTCGAATAAACTCTGGATAAACAGTTGAATTTACCGGTGTGAGAGAACTTGAAAACCGCCGCATAACATGCATTTTATAATTAGTTCCCCTACCGCGAGCTAACATTAAATTAATGCCAGCCCCTCGACGTCATGACGAAGTTACCGTGCACGGGAACTTGCAAGCGCGATACGTCACACCGTTGGCAGAGGAAATCCATGCGGGCTAGTGTAATGTGAATCTATTACTCAACCTGTGCAACGTCATTGAACCTCGATGACAAAGACATCTTTGTGAGATATCTCTCTGAAAGATGTATTTACTCATCCGAAAAAAAACTCCATTAATTCGAATAAACTTTGAATTTTTTTCCGAGACGAATATTTCAATTCGTTTTATACATTTATATAATATTTATTTCGCGTTTACTTCAGGCAAGATAAGTCTATCTCCGACAGCCGTCTCTGATTGTAAGAAAAGATTGTCGATAATCGCGCGATAAATAAGCTCGCGAAAGTTTGCCGAGTCGTCGCAAAATATCGATATTTAGGGGAAGAAGGTCGACGAAAGAAATGTTTGCGAGTTCTTGTGTATGCGGGCCTCCTTATGTACATATTTAAATAGGTCTACCGTATCTGCGCCATTACCGGTGGATGCATGTTGGCATCGCGCACTACTCGACGATCTGTATATAACTGACCTATATACACGACGTCGCGATCCGTATCGCGATCACGTGTATATGCGCACTCGATCGTATTTTCATGCGGAGGATCACGATCGCGCCCCGTATTGTACCGAGGCGAAATTACCATCTGCCTCTGCGGGGGAAGAGCAGGAGAGGAACAGGTTTTCTCTCGCGAGATCGCGATGATTTCCAGCACGTAGAATTAACCACAACCAAGTCGAAGATTGATTATTAAAATCCGTGTCCGTGCCAGGGATTCCGTAAATTCAGACACCGAGAAACGCGCTTCGCTTCGCGAATTAACGGAGCGCGCGTGAATGCTGATTTTTATTATCACTCATTCCACGCGGTCCCTCTTGAGCTCATCGGCATTCCGGGCCATCGGACCATGAGTTCACGCAGCCGAATTCCTATTGCGTCTCGTGTGTAAGTGAGAAAGGGCTTTAGCTTAATATGTGAAGGCAAGACGTCGGCTCGCGCCGGCGAAATTCAATATAAACGACGATGGGAGGGAAACATTTTATGGCACATCATCGGGACTCGATAAATCGCGGCTAAATTGTGATATTATATTATTGCCGGAATATTACTTCGTAACGTTCACATAAAAATGACTCGTTTAACATTACGAGGCTCCATTCGCTCCAAACGCTTGACACATTTATTAAGATTTAATCGTCCGATAATTAAAAAAAAAAAAAAAACATAAATGTATAAACGTGCAAAGGGAGAATTCGGATTAAATGGATAGAATCTCAGAGACGCAATAGGTATCCCGAATTAATTCGGTAATGTCATTGACCGCTACGCGATTGAGTTTAATGGTCGACGTTCTGATTTCGCGCGCACAGTTTATAGGATCAGCTTCTCATGGGGCCAGTGATGTACAACGTTGGCGAGCGCGGCGAGACCACGATCCTGGCCGCGTGAATTTGCCTATTGCGTTCAATACTTCTTAAACTACGCAGCAGTTCTGGTAGTTTAGTTCAGCTACTATTCAGTAGTTTCAGGGTGCCCAAGGGAGACCAAAGTATCGCATCGCACAAATGACACTTTGTATTCGTGCCTGCACGAATTGTCAAACTATCGTAAAGATAGAGAAGAGAGAGAGAGAAAAAAAAGATGAGTATCTTTAATTTAATATTTTTAAAAATATATGCAAATTGGAATATTTTCTCTTTTTAAAAATCAATATTTTATTCAGTTATTAAAGGTCGTCTTTAGCTTACTTTACATATTGATGATGAAACCGAAACGTACATTTATAGAATTAATCAATACATATTCATTAAAAATCTACGCTTCTCGCGTCTCTGGTTCTAAATAATCCATTTCCCGTTAAGTATTCGGTATTTTCTCTTATCCCGATATAAAGTTTTTCGCTTACATCTTACCATCAAATGGTTAACAGTTAATTAATCGTAGTTTAGCGACGCATGTAATCATTAATAAGAGGAAAATTGATCCAACAGTGACTATAATATTATCAGTGAAACTGGGTAATGCGGTATATACCGACGTGCTACGTACTTCCTTCACTCCCCTTAATTTCATTGGCAATATTCAGATCTTCGCGAGTTCATGAAATCCCATCTATCCCATCCTCCTATCCCTCTTTCTCGCTCTCTCGCAATTGCTGTGCCAAAGTTTCAAATTAATTGACGTTAAACCTGCTTCGTGGCGCTTCGGATATGGTGATACGCGATCAATATAAACCGATATATTACGAATACACATCGTGCGAAAGGGCTTATTTGCTTAGTTCGTTCGA